AATATTCTATGGGACTCCATAGCTTGTAAATTAATCAGCCCAAGACATACACATCTCAAACACATAAGAATTATATCAGCAATCAAATTGCATTGTAACTTAAAAACATGGAAGCTGCTTTGAAAGGGTACAAAATGACCAGAAGACTCTCTTTGTTTAAAAAAAAAGCATAGCTAAACTGGGCATCGAATATCCTGCCTTTGAGAGTGACACCTTCCTCATATCCACCTAAGATCCAGTATCTTTCATTTATATTCGTTGCATAGCTATACCTTGATCTTTCTGTTCATCTTGTTCTTTAAAAAAAAAAAAAAGCATATTGGTATAATTAGTGTCCACTCAAGCTGGCTGCTCAGTCCTAATTAATACATTCATTACACTTAGAATATATTAAGTACTCCCAACATTAATTGGTTAACTTACTTTCATTTATTTATAAAAGCGACTTATTTATAATTTAAACTTTACTATCCAAAGATGTTTATAGGTTGAGATGTGATACTAACGCACTTAAAAATTGAGAATAGAAAATAAACTTTTAAAAGGGAGTGAAGAATTATATTGAAAACCAGAGATGGGATAAATATACTAGAACTGGCATAAGCTTCGATCTTTATGAAAACTACAGTGGAGGAAAAAAGAGAATGGGGAGATAGGGGGAGAGGGGAGAGGGAGGAGTTAGAATTCTGGCCGGCGATGCCATGAGATGCGCAGGTGCACGTCACGTGACATGATCGCCTAGCCCTGAAATCTGGAGAGATTTACTAAAAGGATTCTTAGAAATGGTGTAACACTGTAATATCACAATGAATACTCCCGCTTTATAGCAGATGGAAGATTTTTCACAGGATCTTTTCTTATGCCTACCCGTAACAAAAGCACAAATCATAACATTAAATCAGAGCTAACTAAAAGTGCTTCTGTATGGAACTTTTAATAAAAATATAATCTAAGCCCATTACTTTCTAGTCACTTAATTAAGGTTTGTTTTTTTTTTTAATTATATGCATAGGAAAAGTTATAGGATAATAAAATGCTAACTTTTATCTCTGAGGAAGGAGATTGGCCAATTTTTATTTTTAGTGTGTTTTCTACTGTGATTTTCTATAATGAACATAACTTTATAATCAAGAGGAAAAATGTTTTAAAATAAAAAGAGATCCACTTCCTGTAGTTTGGTAGACAAGGTACTCTGGCGCTCCTGCTTTAAAAAAAAAAAAAAGCATAAAATGCTGTATTAACTGTAACAAATATATTTTTAATCAATTGTTCGGAGATAAACATTAGTGAAAGGAGGCAGCCAGGGAGGCCGGTAAGCAGACCTCTGAAGTCAGCTTTCCCCTGTAGAGTATTTGCCCAAATCTGGAGAAATGAGCATCAAAAAGAGTCCAGGACAAAATCAGTCCAAACAGGAGCCTAACAGAATGTCCCTCCCACAGAATACAGGACGTCCAGGTCCTCTAGCGTCAATGAGCTAAGAAAATTGTCTAAAACTCTAAGACTCTGTAGCCAGTCAGTCCTCATCTCGTTTGATAGCCTGTGTGGTCCCTCTAACCTAAAACCAAAGTTTAAAGAGCTCTAGGTTGGTAGTACCCCCAGAGCAACAGAAATGCAAATATTCTCTGGAAGAAGAACCCACCTTTAACCCAGGCTTCAAGAAATTCCCACAGATAGTTAAAAACAAACAAACGAACAAACTTTCAGTCTGAAAAGCATAAAGCACAAGAAAAGGTGCCGAGAGAACCAAGACGAACAACAGGTAACAGGACCAGATGTGCAAAGACTCCACACATTAGAATCATTATACGCAGAAAATAAAATGTTTAAATAAGTAAGTTTTTCAAAATATAAAGAACAAGAACTCAACTCAGCACGTGACAAAGAACTCAGAAGACATATAATTTAAATTACGTCAATAAACGGGCTTAACAGCAGATGCGACCAGAGTGAACAAAGGAAAAAGCAGATCTGAAGCACATTAAATGATCGATATTAAAGCTCAGAGAGATGAAGAGGAGAGAGAAGAGGGAGGAGGTTAACGGACATAAACAGAGTGAAAGGTTTAACAAACATCTACTCAGAATTTCTGGAGGAAGAGAATGGAGCAGGACTAAATATCTAAAGACAGAAAGGCTGAAAATTTTCCAGAACAGACTAAAGGTATCAATCCGTTACTTTAGAAAGTCCAATAAATTCCAAGCAAAATAAACAGAAATTAAAATAAAGAAATTCATACCGACCTAGATCTTCATGAAACTGCAGAGTGCTAAAGGCAAAGAGAAAATCTTAAAAGCAACGAATGACATAGCAAAAAGCAGCTTGACGTCAAAGGAACAACCACAAGTATAAGGAAGAAACACATATTTTCAGAGAACCAAAAACAGACTGCCACCCTCGGAGCCTCACTAAAGGAAATTCGAAGGCGGAGATCAGCAAATTTTTTTCTATAAAGGCCCAGATAGTGAGTGAATAGGTTAAGCTTTACAGGCCATATACCCTCTGTCACAACTACTCCACCATTGTGACATGAAAACAGACACAGATGATACGTAAACAAATGGGCATGGCTGTGTCCCAATAAAATAAACAAACTGCAGCCTATACTCCCAGTCCAACCTGCTCCCTGCTTTTGCAAATTACAGTTCCTTAACCCCTGTTCCAACAGATAAACTTGGGGCAGAAGGAACATGATTTAAGATAAAAGGTCTCCTATATGCCAGAGTGGTAAATGTGTAATTCTAAACAAACGTCATTGTTGATACAATCATCTCCTGTGGATTTACAAATAAAACAAGATACAGCTAAAGTATTGTGTGTATATATATATCACACAAATACATGACGAGTGGCATAAACATCAGGAGGAAAGCACTGGAACTAAAGTGCCACGACTCTCACAGTGCTGAAGAGGACAGTAAAATAGTAACTTGAAAACACAAAGCAGAAATTGACAGAGCGACATCGTGGTGTAAGACTGTACATACCTTTCTCAGCAATGGATAGCTGAGCAAATAAAGAACGACGAGTAAAGGTAAATATCTGAATCAGAAAAATGGTAATTTTGATCTAATGGACATATACAGAGGACCATATCCAACAATTTCGAAATGTATATTTTCTATCCCATGTGGGGCATTTATAAAAAATTTTATCCTAATATATTTGAAAGTTGAGAATGGATAAGTTCATACACTAATATACCTAACACGACTCAAGACGAAACATAAAACTGAATAACCCTATGACCATTAAAGAAATTGAAATAAATAGTTAAAAATCTTCCAATAAAAATGAGGCAACCCAGTTTTTACTATCAGATAATAAAAAATAAATAAATAAATCGGATCTTAAGCAACCTGGTCCAGAATATAGAAAAAGAAGGAACATTCTCCGACTCATTTTTATGAGACTTGCTTAACCTTGATACCAAAACCAGATAAGGAAAAAGACAATAATGTCCAAACTCGCCACTTCTATTCAACATTGTACTGGAGGTTCTAGTCAGAGCAATTAGGCAGAAATGAAAATAAAGGCATCGTTTGGAAAGGAGGAAATAAAACTACCTCTCTTCACAGATGACATGATCTTGTCCGTAGAAAATCCTAAGGAATCCAACTGAAAAATTATTAGAACCGATAAATGAGTTCTGCAAGGCTGAAGAGCACCGGATCAATGTACAAAAATCAATTTCTACACACCTGTAACCAATAATCTAAAATGAAATTTTTAAAAACTTTCATTTTTAAAAAATTGTTACATGTTCATTTAAAATAGCATCAAAAGGAATAAAATACTTATGAATAAATTTAAGAACTACAAAAGTTATCGTGTGAAAACTACAGAACATTGTCGAAAACAATGTCAAAAATCTTTGTGACCTTGGACTTGGCAATGGATTCTTACGTAGAACACCAAACGCAACAACAAAAACAAGAAAACGACAAAAATATTCATTCCACTTAAGACTGAACTCATAGGCCAGGAGGGCTCAGCGTTGGAAGAGAGATACATGCTTTATATGCCAAACGCGTGGGCCGAAAAGCTGACCCGTACGAACCAGAACAGTGAGCCCAGAGGACAAACCCTGGGACCCACACGGCATGCAGACCAACCACACAGGCAGCTTTGAATCGGGTGACATCACTAAAGTACGCTATCCTCAAGGATGTGTAGATGAAGAGCACCCCAGAAAATTCTCCTAGTAACTGTTAACTGGTCACAACGCAACTCCAGACGAAACACACTCCCTGTCAAAGGCATGCCCGGCCGTGGTGGAAGACCGCTGGGTGGGGGTTTTTTAAGTTAAATATTTCTGGATACTGACTTAAGACATGCTGGGAGGGGTATAAAAAGCCGAAGGAACAGTCTCTGGCCCTAAAGGCACTTGCAGCACCACTGGAATCAAAACCCTTTATCACAAAAATAGTATCTGAAACATTAGGAACAAAACCACACAACAGCAGATACCACAAATCGCTTGACAAATCACTCACAAAGATATTACTTAAAACGTTCAGATGAAGAAAAGAGAAATTTCTATCATCTAAGGTGGTCAGAAAAGGCATTATAAACAATCTGAAAGGTCTTCTAAAATATAGATCGGAGGTCAGCATGCACACATGCGCGCGCACACCCACACTCACCCGCTGTGCCAGCAACTGGAGTACTACGTTAACCCCCTACGGAAATGATTATGGATTTGTATATGATAAGGTTCTCCTGCTTGATTTACCACAAATATAAAGCAAATGCAATTGGCATGAAGAGAGCTTTGGATATTTCAAACCCAACCAATGTCTTTTTTCAGTAAAGCTATAAACTATACCAGGTATTTTTAAATAGGAACCTATTTAAACCTATAGCTATCCATTAATATACAAGAAAAAAGGAAAAGCACAAACGTTAACAGCAGCAATCTCAGGACCGGCGGGGGACTGGCTCCCTTGCTCCTTTCCTGCATGTTCCAAGTAGAATTTAAAAAAAAAAAGTAGCAAACAGTATTATAATAATTTTAAAAGAATTTTATTTTAAAAGCACACATACCAACATCCATAAATGTGTGGAATATCATTGGAAGAATCATAAGAAACGGGTAACAATGGAAAATTAGGTGACATAACAGTAAAGGGTAGGAAAATACCTTTCAGTGTATCCCTTTCTGTATCTTTTGAATTCAGTACCACGTTTATTACCTACTTAAAAACAAACAGCGTTTGAAAACCTACCATGATATGAAACATGACAGTTACATTTCCCCTATTTAATCCTCACGAACTATTAATGTACGTGGAAGGTGTTAACAGCTGTGAACGCTGAGTCTTTTCCTCTAGCCTCAGTGATATTTCTCACAATTTCTGCGGTATTAACTAAAAGAACGTATTCTCAGGAGCTAAGTAAGGGTCTCATCAGAGAGCCCTCCTACAGAGTAGTGTTCCCAGGACGTCCCTGCAGGCTGCGCCTGGCCACCCTCTGCGCCTGCACCCCGGGACATTTATGCCTGCAGCAACTGAAACTGGCTGTCAGGCCTGTGGCCTCTGAGGGACCCCAGACCCCACAGCCTCCCTGTGCTGCTGTCATCTCGCGGCCAGGTTGCCTTCTCACCCCCTGTGGCCAGAATGTGCCCTGCGAGGAGACTGGGGCAGTGGAAGCTGGGGGTCCAGGTCCCCCAGGAAGCTATAAATACAGCTGTGTTCCCTGACCTGCAGCCTTTCCTAAAGCCATGTCTACTTGGTGCCAGCTTAGTCTGAATGGTCAGGGGGACCTGAAACCCATTCTCACAACAATAAACTAAAGTAAGCACAGCATTTTGTCTGTTCGCAGTACAATTAACAGAAATAATGAGCTACGTATTAGATTATTGGGGAACGCGAGAATACAAATATGATCTTTTAAAAACTAGCGATAGAATTTAGCTTTAACATGGCCACTTAGTTCATGGTTAAAGTCCCCTGCCACTCATCAGTTACAGATTGGTCATAGCAACTAAGTGGCTGTAAGGAAGGAAGTCGCATAAGTACTTGCAAAGATTTTAATTAGAAAAGGTATATTTAAAAATATTTAGCAAAATTAAACTTTATGGGCAACACGTATCCATTTAAATTAATTTAATCAGGCTTCCTAGTTTAGTTTTTATCTTTGTTTCATTCTATGAAGCATAAATATTAAATGCTTATAAAATATACTTCATTGGAAATGCTTTAAATACAAAACATGCAATTTAAGCACAAAGCAATGCATTGTGGTCTCGTGAACATATTTACAAAACACGGTTATGAAAAATTAACAGCTTCAAATAAGTAGATAATACTACACAAAGGCTTGCCTGACAAACGACATTTTAAACAGAAGAAAAAAGCACAGGCGATGTCAGTTAGTGTTATCCTCTTAGTAGTACCGCATGAGGTAAAAAAAACAAATTTTCAAATTCTAGTAGTAATATTAAGTTGCTTTCTAATCTGGATTAAAAATAACACGAAGTCTTTGAAGGACTTAAGTTATTAGAAAATTTTGACTTTCCAATTAGCCATGTGACCTTTAAAATACGCCAAGAGTGCAAATCGCTAGTAACGTGTACATGCCCCTCACATCACACACTTCTTAGCACAAACCTGGCACTCTGCTGGCCGGTACACAGGCCCTCCCGGCTCAATGACACGTGTACAAACTGTCGTTCTTATAAGGATCTCACATAAAGTCCAAAAACAAACAGGTTCAACAAAAGAACTAACCTGTGTGCTTTCGTTTCTTAAAAAAAAAAAAAAAAAAAAAAGTACAAATCAGATTTTTAAACTAAGTGAAAATCCATGTTTAAAAGTATCATAGCTGTATTCATCTTCTTTTTCAGCTGAAAGGGTGAAGCACGATAGCCACAACTTTGTTACAGACTAAAATCCAACAGGTAATTCCGACACCACCTAAAAATTAAGAAACGCAATGAAAGAGAGAACGCCAGGAATCCCGCCCCGTTCCCTGCCCCTAGGGCCTTTAACCTAGAGGAAATAGGGTATTTCAATTCTTTCTGAGCAGTGCTGGGCTGAGACAAATTCAGATTCATCAGACTTTTAGCTGATCCACAGGGCTGCCTTCTTTACTAAGCAGGAATCACACACAACGAGCACTGGTTTGGGTTTCTCTTTCCTGCCAAGGAGCTGCACATTATTATTTATGATAGTCATAGACTATAAGATCACCTGTGAGACTATGCGGCTCCGCTTCTCAAAAAAAGCTTTAAAAACGAAGCAATGTTTGCCCAAAGCTTTATGCCGCACAGATAAATGAGGGACAGGAAGGCGAGCTGCAGGAGTAGCCCACCGCCAACTGGCTGCCCAGAACACGGTGGCCTCTGGCTCCTCGGCTGAGTAACACTGAGAGCCCACCAGTGCTGCCCTCAAGGTCAGGTCCACAAAGGAGAAAGCAAAGGGGTGGGATTAGGCAAAGGGGCGGGATTAGGCAAAGGGGCTTAGGCAAAGGGGCGGGATTAGGCAAAGGGGCGTGGCTAAACTGGAAATCTTTGAAATAGTCATTCCTTTTAATTTAGTAATTCACCTCCAGCGTTATCACGAATCACAACCTGGACCGACAAGGATGTGTGCTGCGGCATTAGTCTTGATAGAATGTGGCGAAACTGGAAATCTTTGAAATAGTCATTCCTTTTAACTTAGTAATTCACCTCCAGCGTTATCACGAATCACGACCTGGACAACAAGGATGTGTGCTGCGGCATTAGTCTTGATAGAAAAAATTAGGACCTAAATAAATATCCTTTCATGGGAAAATTAGTAAATTATGACACATCCAAATGAAGAAGAGCTATTCGAAATTCCTTAATAAAGAAAAGTTTATTGATAAGAGACAAGGCTTATGACATACAGTAAAAAGAGGCAAAAAATTATATGTGCTAAATGACGTTAACTATATAAAGACAAATAGAAAAAAAAGACCGGAACCAATATGCCACAATGTTAAGAGGGATCATCCAGAGTTAATGAGATCTTTTTTAATTGTCCTTGTATTTGTAGTCTTTCTACAATGACAGGTACTACTTTCAACATCCAAAAGAAATTATCGTTCAAAAACAAAAGAACAGCCGGTAGCTGTAACGCCGCAGAGGGCTGAGCGTCCCGGGTTCGGAAGTGAGAAGTGGCATTTCAGTCAAGAGGGTCCCAGCCCCAGGTACCGGGTGGAATCCGGAAGCACACCTGGGTTGGATTCTTGCTCTGCTACTTAACACTTCGGTTAAGGCATCTCAGACAAGTCAAGGGACTTCTCTAGTTCTCTTCGCTGCAAGCCTTGCGTGAGGATGAGACACGGATGATGGGGATGATGGCTGACTTCGTCTGCCACCGCACACCTGCACGTGAGCCTACCCATATTCCTCCACTCCGTTTTCCAGAAAACTCTTACCTGCTACTCTGGTGGGAAATGCCACCAGGCGGTCTAGCGGAGTTATCCATTTACTCGGCACCACAGCCACAGGGACAGAATAATACTTCCAAATGAGCGAGACCATCAGGGCAGCCTGCAAAGACACCGCTGGTGGGTGGGAATGACCTGCCAGCCACGCAGCCCGTCACCACAGGAAGACGGGGAGCAGACGCGAACTGGGGGAACTCCACGCCCGCGGCCGCAAGCCCCATCCGCCGGGTCCCTGCGGCCAACAGCGGCCAATGCAACAGGCAGCTGACTGCTTGGGGCGCCCACCCCCAGGCAGTCGAAAACCCCAGTCTAACTTCTGACTCCCCAAAAACGTAACCACCAACAGCCGGCTGTTGATTGGAACTTACCAATAACACAAAGTCGGTTAACACATATTTGGTATGTTGTATTATGGACTATACTCTCACAATAAAGCTAGAGAAGATATTAATAAAATCATAAAGAAAATAGGTATATGTATTTTTTGCATTCATGACATACCTAACTTTTTCTTAATATTTTCGATATTCCTAGGCTACACAGTTCATCTGCGAGTTTTACTGAATTGTCGCAGATCTCCAAAACTTTTTCCAATACGCTTACTGAAAAAAATCCATGTATTAAGTGGACCCGCACAGTTCAAACCCACGTTGATCAAAGGTCAACTGTATACACTATTAAATTAGCTGACAAATGAACCCAGGTCTCCCCTAACACAGGTGATCTTTCTTCATTGAGTATGTCCACTAAGTCACCAGACGATGCTGAAGACACCTTACTCGTGACAAAAGCGATCTTTCGCCGCTAAGACCCCTGAAGAACTCACTCCCCACCCACACTCGAGTGTCGGCGTCCGCGAGCAGAGGGGGCCCGTGGGAGTTTAAATGGCGGGTAGGGAAACGATTTCTTTCCCTCTCTTCCAGAGGAGCATTCCTCCCGCCATCCTCCATCCTCTTCTGTGGCCCTGAATATGCCAAATAAGGATGCTTACAAGGGGACCTCTGGCTTAATTCCAGTCCCTGGGAAAGCTCTCTCGTATCAAAGTGACAGCGTCTCACGGTGGATGTATTTGCTGTATGCAAACAACTTGGGCTTTGGGGGGTTTGGCTTGAATCCTTAACCCCAGTAAAGACCACTCAGAGGTCATTTAAAGCAGCCGCTACAGTGTGCACACAGCACATCGCAGCCTCAGGGCAAAGCAGCAGCGGAAGCAATAGCAGTTCCACAGGAGGTGGACGAGGAAAAGTCCCCAGATAAGAAACTTGTGAATCAGTGGTACTAGACTTTAATGAGAACAATGGGTTACCGACCTGGAGAGCAGTCACACGTCTGAACACCACGAAAGAAGCAATGGCCAAAATCACTGACCGTCTCACAAAACACAACGTTCGAGTAAGTTTCTATCACTTCAGCCCCCGGCCTCCCAAGCCCCTACTGGAATAAGGGCCACATAAAGAACTCCAGAGAAGTTATTTCGGCACTTGTTTGCTTTAAAATCTCAATATTTCACCCCTCTAATCTAGAGAAAGGCTTTCTGAACAGTCTGTGAATTTATGAGTCTAACTCATAAATTCACAGACTGTTCAGAGTTACACGCTGGCAGGACCCCGAGGCACAGCAGCTGAATGTTGAAAAGCCCGAATTCCCACACCTGGATGCTGGGGGCTGCATGTCCCAGAGCACAGTCCATTATCAACCTCAATGACCCCAGGTGGCACAAAAGGACACTTACTTGTAATATGTAGAAAACAACACTTATAACCCATTTTATCTTGGCCAATTGAGCTGTCCGCGCTTTCACTGGAAGGAAAAACGGGAAGAAACAATTACCTTGGTCCTGAAAATATTCAAGTACCTATTTGAATATGTACTTCCTCTCCCAAAATATTTTCTACTTATGCAGATAAACATAAAACTGAACTTCTTAAAAGTCACCATTATGTCACTATTTAAAATAGAATCACACACAGATTGTGAGATGTGAAGCTTTAATTTTGAAAACCCTTAAAGTCATTCATCTAAATCAGAGATTCTTTTTACAGTGCGCTTACCGACAGGACTAAATGTTCCTCCCTGACTTCCCAGTCTACACTGCACGCTAACCCACAAGGGGACTCTAGTGGGTCCCTCTGCACGTGTTGCTAAACATGGGGACAGCTCTTTCACCGTGCCCGCTCTCAGCGCACAGGAGCTCTGTGAAACGGCCTTCATCACAGCGGATTGCTACGGGCGGGGCAAACGTAAAGATGAGTGAGCACTGAGCCCTACCCTCAGAGAAGGACACTGCTGGAATTTTCTAGAGGGTGGAAAAAGCCCCTGAGTATCCACTACGAGATTCTGTCTAAGCTTCTCTCAGAAAAGTGCTGAATTTGAAAATGACAGCGTAACAAGTTGGCTCTGAAGGAACTCCAAGAGGATCCTGGATGTTTCTGAGTTTAGAAAGCAAAGAGTTACCAGCAAATAAAGAGAAAGTATTAACTGTTATTGGGTTTCTTCTAGACAACTTAAAAGTTTATATCGACATTTAGAACATCCAAGAATCAACACACATATTCTACGAACATTTATACAAAGATTCCTCTCTGAATCAGCTCTTACGAAGCTTTCCACACGACAAGTGAAAGTACCATGAGTTTTGAGCTTATCTGTCATCTTGTTGATCTTTCTTTCCAGCCTGGCGTATCTGGCGAACTCATCCATCATGTTGACAGTGGACAGCTCTTGCTTCATGTCCTGGATCTCGGCTCTCATCTGGGACTCCTGCTCTGCATCCTTCTGCAGCACCCTGGACATCTGGTGGCGAGGACAGCTGGCATCAGCGCCTTTCCATGTGGGTTACACATTCTCCCCCACCTCCTCCGCCGACCTATCCCTTTCCACCCGGCAAGCTGCCCTTTACCTAGATAGCCAGCCTCTGCTCCTGCTCCCTAGACAACCGCAAAAAACAGAAACTCCTTCCGATTTGAATCGCTATTCACATCATATTTTAGCTCCTGCAGACACACTCGTGGATTGTAATAGTACAAATGTAACTTCCACTATTACTGTAAAATTGTAATTATAAAACGAAAATCGTTTCATCCCCAGAGCTGTCACTCCGGTACAAGGACCTGGCATTTTCTGCCCTCCCTGAAGAAATTCCCTCCTAAATTAGGAGGGCAGAGCAGGGTGGGGGTGCAGGGAGCCAGGGAGGAGACGGGGGCCCAGCGCGGGGACTCGGAGTCCACGTGCAGTGAGGAGGGCATCCCCGCAGCGGGTCACACTGGCAAGGGGGTCCGAGCCAGGCGGAGTGGTCTGGGGTCTCCAAGAAAGGGCAGCCTGGCAGGGGAGTCAGAGCCCGGGCGGGGTGAGGGGCGCATTCGAGGCAGGAGGAGGCAGCCAGCCAAACACGGTGTCAGAGCCCCACCCTGGAGAGGGCGGCGGTGGAGACGGCAGGGTAGTTATAGAGGATTAATCAGAGAAACAGCGAGGATAACGGGAGCCAGTTTTCTGCCAGTCCCGGGGCTCCTGCGCAGTACGCCCCCCTGCGCCCCACGCCGAGCGCACTCTCCCTGCTTCTGGCTGGACAGAAAGCATCAGAAACACTACAGGGAGTCACGGTCTGAAGTAAGGGTGTGGCCCCTTCCCAGCCAAACACGGCTTCTCCTGGGGCGTCTCTCCCACTTACACCCTGAAAGCCAGGCCGCGGCGGGGCGGCCTCTAATGGTCATGCAGGAGCAGTGTGGCCCCCACCCGGGACCGGCGCGCTCCTTGCGGCTTTTCACGGACCCTCACCACAAACCCAGGTGGAACTGATGCCCGCTTTTCCCTGTCCTGTGCACCAACAGTAAGGCTGTACGCTGCTAAGATCGTTCCGTGTTATCCTTCCGAACCCGGCTAACAATCCCGACAAATACTGCTAAAACCCAGGAGAAAGAGCTTTAAGAAAGCTGTCTGCGGTTAGCCGGGTTATACAGCCTGTAGGAAGCAGCAGAGGACGTGACACGGTCAAACCCAAGGTCAAACCCAATCCTCTTTCATCTAAATGATGAATACCCATCCTTATACTGTGCAAGCCTTAACCAGGTCTAGACAACAGCACTAATCTCTTGTGACAATGGACTAGCTGCAGAGAATGCGTTTGGTGTGGGCTTGGTGAAGAAGCCTCAGATGATGACAGGTCTCACTTATTACAGCTGCTGCAATATCGCAAACATGCACCCAACCTCCGCCTCAGCTAATAAGAAAGCACGCACAGTTCACAGCCTCTTTGAGCAAGTGCGATTAGTTGCCTGTGGCTCCAACGTTAGGTAAAAGGGGATGGAGTACATAGGAAGAATAGACGTGATGCTCAAGAAAGAGGGACAGGAAGCCCACGAAACGGCAGAAAATATCTGCAAATCACATATCTAAAAAGGAGTCAGTATCCAGAATATATAAAGAACTCCAAACGGAGCAACAAAAAATAAAAATAAAAATAAAAAAATAGCCCCTCACTCCTGCTGTGAGTCTACAGAGGGCGCCCTTCCGCTGGGGACAGCTCCTGATGTCCAATTTAAAAAAGGGACAAGGACTTGAATAGGCATTTCTCTAAAGAAGAGACAAAGATGACCAATGTTTTAGCAGCATCACTCATAATTGTCAAAAGGTGGAAACGACCCAAATATCCACTGAAAGATAAACGGATAAAATGTGCTATGCACATACATGGAATAATATTCAGCCTTAAAAAGGAATGCAATCCTAACACAAGCTACAAAAGGATGACTCCTAAAGACATTATGCTGAGTGAAGTAAGCCAAACAGGAAAGGACAAATACTGTGTGATTTCACTTATATGAGCTACTTAGAGTAGACAGATTCATATAGACAGAAAGCAGCATGGTGGTTGCTGGGAAGAGAGAGATTGGGGAGTATTTTAATGGTTAGAGTTTGGGTTTAGGAAGATGAAAAAGTTCTGGAGATGGATGGTGGTGAACGTTGCACTAAGTGTGAATGTACTAATGCTAATGACCTCTACACCTAAAAATTATTAAAACGGTAAAGTTTACGTTACCACAGTTTTTTTAAAAGAAGGAAGAGGGCAGGGGCCAGCTCTTCAAGGGTCTTTTATGAAACGCTAAGGACTTGCAATATCATCTTAAAGACTAGGCGGCATCAGGAAAGATTCTGAACGGGGTGGGGTTCAGAGAGAAATCCCTACGCCTCAGAACAATAAGGCTAGTAAGGCCGTAAAATAGAGCTTTATGCAAAACAGGCACTCGATGAATACTGGTAGAATAAACATAAAGGAGTAGAAATCCTGCCCCCACCAGCCATTTATATCAGGAGAAAAAAGCAGGAATAGCTGTTTCCCAGAATAAGGCTACAAGAATAAGGCTACAACATGTGCAACCAATATTTTTAGTCTCAGTCTGAGACAGCCTCTCATTCCCGCTGTAGCCAAGAGAGGGCGCCCTTCCTAAGGGAACAGCTCCCTATGTTTCTCCCACACACGCACCCCAACAAATTTGCCAGCGAACCCCCTATTCGTACTGCAGTAGGCAGAGGAGCAGCACTAGGAGGATCACAAACCAAGGACCAAATCTCCACCCCGCGGGATGACTTTCTGAGTAAGACTCCTCTGGGAGGGAAAAGGAAGACGGGATGATGTGACAGTCACCCCTCACAGCAGCTGTGACAGCAGGACAGGAGGTAAGGTACTCGTGCCCTGGCAAAACGCCCCGCAGGGACAACGCTCCCCAGGGCCCGCTGCACCTCTGGATACGGGAAACAGCACGCAGTGCTGAGATTCTCGGTCTACACTGTCAGCCACCCCACCCCACCCGCCAGATGGGCGGCTCCAGCACCGAGATCCGTCTCCGGGACCTGGCAGAGCGGCCACTCGGTGCGAGGAAGGCCGAGGCCTCCAGCGAACCCTGGACGCCACGCTGCGCCAGGCGCCGTCCCCGCAGCAGCCGGGGGCTGCTCCATGCCCGCAAGGACCAGGAAATAAGGGACATGAGTGCGGATGGCGGGGGCCACTGAGAACCCCCAGCCTGAAGCTTGCTGCCACGTGAAACCGTGGCCTGGGGTGGCCAGGTAGTTATTTCTTAAAACCCAGAACGGCCCAACTGAGATGCTTCTGCGGCCGGAATCCGGCCCTCGCGCGGCCAGTTGGAGACCCCCGTGTGCCACTTACGAAGGAGGAGAAGGACGGAAGAAGGATCCTGAGGACATTGCACCCGAACACGAAGCTGAGCACCAGCAGCCACGCCCAGCCGTCGGCCTCCGCGGAGCTCATCCCCGGTGCCCCGACCGCGCGAGCTCCGCTACGGCAGCTCCATGGGGACCGAGCCCGCGATCCCGCACAGCGAGGCCTAGCGGGCCGCGCGCGTCCGCCGCGCCTGCGCACTGCGCCGCACTTGCGGGAAGGCGGGGCCGCCTTTTTCACACGGTCGTGGCTCACGCGGCGGCTTACGCGGCGGCCTTCCCGGCTTCCGTAGCCTCTGCACCCACGCCCACCGTTCCCGCAAGGCCAGGGAGACAAATTCCTACCATCTCTCCAGGGTTGTGTCTGCTGTCCACTTGTGTTATGATGTAATTAGTGCTTTTTTAAAATTGACTCACTTTTAGTCCTAAATAAATCTGTCTAGAAATAGAAAATTGCCATACGTGTAATAGCAGGTAACTGTAAAAAAATGTTTTGTAAGCATATGTAGTGTATTAAGCTTGCATTTCAAAAATAAGCACTGTAATAAACCTGACCAATTTACAAAACCGCATACCTGATAAATAAGTGTTCAAAAAAAGAAAAATAAGAATTAAAAATCACCGTTTATGGAACTGGTTCCATAGTGTAGCGGTTAGCAGGTCTGCTTTACATGCAGAAGGTCCTGGGTTCCGGCCCCAGTGGAGCCACAGTCCATGGTCTACAGCCATGCCACCCTGAACAAGCCCAATGTCTGATCTCAGAAGCTTAGCAGGGTCGGGCCTGGTTAGGACTTGGATGAGAGACCACCTAGGAAGACGGTGCTGCAGGCATAAATAATAATAATAAATAAAAACAAAAATAAATTTAACAATCACTTTACAATCACCCTGGAATAAAATATTTAACCTACATTTAGGGCTGTCAAGGTAAGAAATGTCTGAACCTATGGGAATTTTAATTAGTTTGAGCCAAACTGATGACAATTGTGGGGAAGCAAAATCTCAAGGGCTTATGAAAATGCTCCCTAGAATGACAGTGTTGCTGCTTATTTTATACATGAGACTCAAAGGAAATATAAGGAGGGTTAGGTCAGGAGAAAGCAAAATGGGGAAATCTCTGGGATTGGATAAAAAGTAGAATGGAGAGACACATTTTTTACACTGGTACGTAAAGGAGAGTTAATAATTAACATTTACAGCATAGAGAAGTGGTATTCAGGGAACATGATAACAATGAGGGGTTCTGTGGTCCAGAAAAGGGACTACTCTGACATTCCAAGGGTATGTTATCTTAGATGCAAAAAGACAATAGACAGGCTCGCTTAAGGTAAAGATTAACCTTTGTCAAGGAAGCTACAGGCCTAGGATGTGACCGCCTGTTATGACACATTTTTAGTTAGGAATTTTTATATTCAGACCATTCTATGTGGTTGATTTCAATCTCTGAGTTTGTAGGGCTTACTATGCTGGCCTCCCCTGAGTTGTCAGGTTTAGTATGTGGCCCCTTTTTTGTCCACAAGGTGAAGATGAGGTTTTACAGCAAAATAATCCCAATTCACATTGATGTATAGTAAATAAAGCAAAAGATGTCTAGCTGCCTCTTCTAGACATCTAGTTGGAGTCTAAGGACTAATACCTAATTAAAATGAATCAAGGAGCTGTGGTTCTACAAATTTCTATTTCAAGAAAACATGTGAAGTGAAGCTATTTAATAGTAATAGAGTGAATTATTTCCATGAAAAGGCATCTTGGCTGGTAGGTGATGGTGAACTGACCAAAACAAGAGACAGGCTTGGAGACTGCCTCTCCTCCACAGCCCTCCCCTTCAGCTGGACCATCCAAAGCTGCAGCTAGGCTATTGGCTCCTCTACTCACTAGAGATTTAGAAGAACTTAGAGGGAGAAACCACTTCGCGAAGAGTGACGGCAGCTCCTCCTCTGCCTCTGCCTTTCAGGCTAAAGAGTGTAACCACACATGAACTTCCTTTCTTTAGTACGCATTTTGCTTTAATCTTGTTATGGCGCAAACGATTCTAAGACCCACGGAGCCAATTGAGATTAATTCTGAGCCTTTATTAGCCGGCCGACGACTGACTCTCTACCACACAGCGTTAGAGGAAATCAGCCCCGAGCTTCCAGAGAAGGCAGCTTATAAAGCCTCCTAGTACATCCTTGAATAAGCAGATTACAAGAAGCAGAAGTTAGCCATTAACGTTTTGTACAAAGATAAATGTATCCGGAGAACTCTCAGATCAAACAGGGCCTAGTAGACAGTTTTATCATCTGTGCCTTGGAATGTTGCGCTTCTCCTGGGGCTGGCGCCTGGAGATACCACCTCTCTGAAACTGAAGAATTTCCACTTTTACATTCCCCACTGGTTTTCGAAGGAATTCAAACCATTGAATCTCAAATCTGGAGTGGCTGGTAGTGAGTTCTGAGAACTATGAGTTTTAGTACCACCTCTACTGAAGAATTTCCACTTTTACATTCCCCACTGGTTTTCGAAGGAATTCAAACCATTGAATCTTCAATCTGGAGTGGCTGGTAGTGAGTTGAGTTCAATATGAGTTTTACTGCCCGTACCCGCTTTTTTACATAGGTAGTTATCCCATTAATTACCAGGG